GTGGTGACAAAAAATATGTAAAAAAGAACAACAATTCATATTTTTATAACATAATTAAAAAAAAACCTTACACGCGTGGAATCCGCGACATCATATGATGATGTTCAGCCAGCTGCCCTAACTTTTAACGACATCATATGATGACGTTCGTCCGATAAAGGTTAAACAAAAAGTATAGAAAATCCGTGTAGGTAAACATTTGACTGATAAATTTCCTATCTAGAATGGTCTAAACAAGGAGATGCTTTATTGACACTCCTTTTCAACTTTCCTTTAGAATATGCCATTAGGAAGGTCCAGGGAAACCAGGTGGGACAGAAATTAAACGGGACATATCAGCTGTTGGCCTATGCTGATGATGTGAATCTACTGGGTGATAATGTAGATACCATAAAGGAAAACACACAAAACTTTAATTGACGCAAGTAAAGAGGTTGGTCTATAAGTAAACACAGAGAAAACTAAGTATATGTTGCTGTCTTGTCACCAAAATGCAGGGCAACATCATGACATAAAGATAGGAAACAGATGTTTTCAAAATGTGGCACAATTCAGATATTCTGGAACAACGATAACAGATCAAAACCTGATTCAGGAGGAAATTAAGAGGCGATTGTACTCGAATAATGCTTGCTACCATTCAGTCTAGAACCTTTTGTTTTCTCGTCTGTTGTCCAAAAACATAAAAATTAGCATATACAAAACTATAATTTTGCCTGTGGTTCTGTATGGGTGTGAAACTTGGTCTCTAACACTGAGCGAGGAACATAGACTGAGGGTGTTTGAGAAGAGGGTGTGGAGGAGAATATTTGGACCGAAGAGAGATGAAGTGACTGGCGGGTGGAGAAAACTGCATAATTAGGAGCTCCATAACTTGTACTCTTCTCCAAGTATAATTAGAATGATCAAGTCAAGAAGGCTGAGGTGGGCAGCTAATGTAGCACGAATGGGGGAGACCAGGAGTGCATATAGGATATTGGTGGGAAAGCCAGAAGGAAAGAGACCACAGGGAAGACCAAGGCGTAGGTGGATGGACAATATTAAAATGGATCTTAGAGAGATAGGATGGGATGTTATTGATTGGATTGATCTGCCTCAGGATAGGGACTAGTGGAAGGCTCTTGTGAACACGGTAATGAACCTTCGGGTTCCATAAAATGCTGGGAAATTCTTGAGTAGCTGCAGAATTGGCAGCTCCTCCAGAAGGGCTCAGCTCCAAGAGTGAGTGAGTGTGAGTGTGAGTGAGTGAGTAAGTAAGTAAGTAAGATCATCCAGTAACTATTCATGCCAGTTAGGCAAAGCATATTTTTTTCACATTTGACTTTACCCCTGTATCTGTGTGTACACTTCTTTATTCCTATGGCTTTATGTCACAATAGAGTGTCCTTCCAAATTAGGTTGCAGGTCTTAACAATCATGTCTCTGAAATGAAAAGGGCTGTAAATGTGAAATAAAGTGCCCTGCTAATGAAGTTTTCTCAGGTGATCAACTTCATGAGTATGGAGTTGGTATAGAATACCTTGGAGATGGTTTCTAACTCCATCATCAGGAACTGACATGATGTCACAGGCACACATTGTATTTGTACCCATACAATAAATTCTTCACTGTCCAAAGCCACTGCTTCACAGTGGTCCACACTGACAGGATATCACAGACCATATGACTCCATGCACTCTACCTTCAGCAATCAATGCTGGGACAGCCGACAGCATGGTGTGTGGGTACAAATAGAACATTCTCCTATATGGCTTCATGGTGTGATTTATAATTAAACTTAGAAGCAAATTTATCTTTCACCTTTATAGTACATGAGACAGAATAAAATTACTGTAAAGGGATCTCTAGTGGGATAAAGTGAAAAGAGAAGCATAGAAACAAGGAAGAGGTGATCTAATGAGCACATTTCATTCACGGGAACAAATTTACTTTAAAATGGTAGCTGTCATCATTCTATGGAGTTCTCAACCCCTCACATACAGAGTGGAGCAAGGATAAATTCCACACTCACAGACTTCTGCACATAACTGATTATTTATCCAGACTGACAAATGAATGACTGTAAGGTCTTGAGAAATTATATTCCCCATTTCTAAATTATAGGAAACACCTAAAAAGCAACAAAAGTGTACAAAGGATGGGAAGCAGTCTAGCAAATTCTTCTACTGCAATGTCATTCTCAACTTTCTACAGGAATACCCCATCTAAAACAACTGTAGCTCCAGGAACTGAATTATAGCTGGATAACTGCCACTAACACTGGAGGATAGAGTGATGAAGGCTAAAATGGTAGCAGCCGTTCACTAGCAAGAAAGAGAGCATAATACTGTCAAGATATGACAAAGCTAACTGTTAAGTGTACCTCATTTTCATCACTGGTTGGGAGCACACCAAGATTTATGGTGGTAAAACAGATGTTATATTCTTGTATAATGCTGGGGTACAGTGAATTGAAGTCCATGAGCAAGATCAGCTTGTCATAGAACCCCTTCCGAGGTTCCAGAACAAGACCGCCTGTGTATGCTGGTTTTCTCTTCCCAGTTCGACCTTTCTTCTGGTGTTGCCCACTCACTGTATCATCTATGTCAAACTCATCAACATGATGAATAGGCTTCTTTCCATACTGCTTGTCTGGTACAATAAAGTTTTTCTCTGTGAATGCATGCAGCAATAAGAACTCATTTCGTTCTGAGCGTCCACCCATTAGTGTCCTTGACATCACATTGCCTGTGGAAGATATAAAAGTGTTTCATAGCAGAAAATTTGCTCTCTTATAAAGTCATAAATCAATTTTATAAATCTCTTTTGCAAATATCATCAATATTTTTATCCTTGGTGACAGACTGGCCTGTGGTATCATACATGGGAATGCTATTTCAAGGGAGAAAGGGATAAGCCACTCTTTGCATGGCTTCTATACTATAAATGAAGTGGGACCCACCTGCAATGTTTGTGATCTGCAGGGCAAGAGGCAACACATTTAGCTCGCACATCAGTCGAACAATGTATGCAGCGTCCTGCATGGTGCAAGAGATGATTTGCAGAAGTGTCTGAGATGATCCATACAGTCGTTTTACCTCATCCATTGTCACTTCAGCTCTCTCGTCTTCTTTTATATGAAGAACCTAGGATGAATTGGCAACACTGCATGTTAAAATGTTCTCCACATGAGAACTGTAAACAGTCTGAAAGCCATGTGCTTACCACTAATGTAGACCAAAATGAAAAGAATATATGTGGTGCAATCCAAAAGTTCCCAAAATATATTAATAAAAACTATTACATCTTACCTAAATCTTATTCTGCACCATCACCTTCGAAGTAGTCCCCTTGGGAGCACATACACCAATCCCAGCATTTCTGCCACTTTTCAAATGCATCCTGGAACTCTTTCTTTGTTAGGGTGTTTAGTACCGTCTGTGTTTCCGCTCGAATTTCCTCAACTGTATCAAATCTTCTCCCCTTCAACTTGATTTTCATCTTGGGGAAGAGAAAGAAGTTGCATGGAACTAAGTCTGGCGAGTACGGTGGGTGGGGAACAACTGTCATCTTATTGTTTAGCCAAAAATTCCTGCACAATGTAAGCCTTATGCGGTCGTGCACTGTCATGGTGGAGTACCCAGTCATTCGTGCGCCACTTCTCTGGACATTTTCTCCTCATGTCCTCCCTCAAATGCCTTAGAACATCGTGACAGAACTCTTTATTGACTGGTAGACTTGAAAGGATTCTGACGATGGTGTATACTGTACTTCTTTTGGCTTATTTTGGACTTTCTGGCCAGGAGGGATGAACTCCTTATGAACAATCCCGTCAATATCAAAAAGACAGATCAACATGGACTTAATGTTGCTCTTGACTTATCGAGCTTTTTTTGGCCGAGGTGAAGAAGGGCTCTTCCATTGCAACGATTGCTGCTTGCTTTCAGGGTCGTAGCCATAAACCCAACTTTCGTCACCAGTGACAACCTTCAAAAGAAAGTTTGGATCCTCTTGACGCTGTTGTTGAAGTTCCCTGCAGACTTCCAAGCGATGCTGCTTCTGTTCATTTTGCAGCAGTCGTGGCACAAACTTCGCTGCAATCCTCCTCATGTTCAGTTCCCCTGACCAAATTCGTTGACATGTACCATAACTTAGTCCCAAGGTGTTACAGAGGTCTTGGATGGTCAGTCTACGATCTTGCAGAATCAGATCCCTAACTTTTGTGACATTTTTTGGTGTTTTGCCCATTGACGGCCGTCCCAAACTATCGTCATCATCAGTCAATGTTCGGCCATTTTTAAAACGCTTATACCAGTTGTAAGTTTGTGTCTGGCCTAAACTGTTTTCACCAAAAGCTTGCTTCAACATTTGGTGCGTTTCTGCAGCGGTTTTCCCAAGTTTGAAACAAAACTTTATACAGACACACCGAGCCCCCGCAACCTGGTAGCTATGCAACACGAGTCAACAGCGGTTATGTAACAGGATGACGTGGCACTCATTACGCAACAGGCAAGCACTGCGGCAATATAAGGGAACTGCACAGCGGCTGCGAGTTAGTTGTAATGTGGTCATCGCCGAAGACATTTCCGAGTTGTAACGTAACAGTCGCCGAGTCGAGTTGAAAGGTGGCCATCGCCGAGTTCAGTAGTAGTCGAGCCAGTGTGTTATCGACAGTTCTCCAGTCAGCTGACTACAGTTGGAGTATAGCAGCCGTCGCGGAAAGAAGAACCAGACGTGTGTGTGATTGTGTAATTGGGAGTGTGTGATACAGTGATACATAGCTCCCCTACTGTAAACGTGTAGACCACTGAAGACAGAGTGAGCTCATTTGCGCGTAGGGTTATAAATCGTGAAACCCCGCAACAGTGTTACAGATTAATGTGATTAGGGTTATAAAGCGTGAAACCCCGCAACTGTGTGATAAGTAATTTTAGCCGTTATTTGTAGATTGTTAAATAAACCAATTAACCATCTCTACGGCGTCTTCAGTAACGAAACACGTTACAATATTTATGCTTACATATTCCATTGTATGATTCCTTGATGATCACTGAGCCAAAAATCCCCCAGCAAAATTCTGACCAACACATAACACACTTAAACACAACTGTAGTTCTTCATACCATGTCACCAGAATGCATTTAAGTTCAGTCATATATACCATAGTCAAAATAGAATCAAAGAAGAATTTTTTGTCCATGCAAGTAAATAAGGTAAATAAAATGTCCCATATTTAGTATTTTATCACTTAAGTTCTTCTAAACTCTTAATTAAAAAAAGTTTAAATGCATTAAAATTAAAACGTTTATTGCCTTACTTCAACTGACACTTCTGTTCTATTTATGTCATAATATGACCCTTAAGGACTGCATTTTGCTTTTTTCATGCAGACGAAAATTGGAGAGAACACCATCCTATTTTCATTGATGAAAATGATCTTTCCATTTCAGTTCAAACTGTAAACAATAAATCAAGAGAGGCTCACAGATTTGTATGGATGCTTCTCCACAAACAACATGCCAGTACACATGCAGAAAGAGGCTTATGCTGTAGACCAGCCCTGTCCAACGCGGTGCTGATGGTATATTTTTCTGGCACCCTCCATAACCACATATAATTGAGCAATTTTTAATATTAATTCAAATTGTAAGACAAGAGACATTTTTGAACGTCTGAGTACTGTTAAATATTTTCGAACAATGTTATTATTATTATTATTATTATTAGTAGTAGTAGTAGTAGTAGTAGTAGTAGTAGTAGTAGAAGTAGTAGTAGTGTGTGTAGTGGCACCCTCACCTCCATAGGCATCAGTGAATTGTGCCCGAGTACATAAGAACGTTGGACAGCATTGCTGTAGACTGTTAAAATTGGAAATGGAACTTCTCTGAGAATTATATGGAAAGGAAAGCATTTTAACCATTTAAAGCCCTAACATTTTAAATCAGTGTCTACCTCACAGAAGAAAAACGCTCTCTCTGTTACAAACACCAACTGGTTAATGCTGTTTGGGAGGACTAATTTTTACTGTAAGAATCATACGAAATCCATAAGTGAACTATGTGGACAATACAGAGTATTTAAAGATTAAAGTAAATGGTACATACAGTAACCACTATGCTTCAAGGGGTTAATCAATTGGAAGGACTTGTATGAAACAGTGTAATGTAATTTGCATGTGCTTTCCAGTTCGCCTATACAATTACAGTTAAAATTTCCATGAAACCAATGAAGTAACAGACCTGTAAATTTTCAATCATCTGTAGAAGTCAGAAGTTTGATATACTTTGATTTAAAACAGATTGAATTCAAAATCTTGCCAACTTTCAAAATTAACCTTTCATCTCCCTGTTCGGCAAAATTTACCCTAAAAGTACATATTATTGCTAGTGTCTTTATGAGGTTAAAATGATAGGAGGATACACAAGAATGATTGCAAAGTTACCTTTCACAGAATACCCAAAATAAAACCTTTTCTCCAATAGACTCAACTTTGTATGCTCACATTCTGACAAAGTGTTCCCAAATCATAGCTTCGAGACCTGATTAGTTCCTTGGCAGATATTTTCACATCACAAACCAGTCGCCCACACATAGCATTCTTCTCCAACTGAACCATGCGTCCCTGAAACCAGAAAATGATGATTAAAATTCCAAATAATGCATCATTAACCTGAGTACTATCCTCTCATAAATGACTGACCCACAAAATCTAGTACCTTCCCACTCTGTATATTAGCTCTGCGCAGTCTTCCAAGCCTAGACCAATGTGGGATCTTGTTGACATTCATGCGATGCATGAGCAGTTCTAATCCATAGCCATACAAGTCATGTCCCACAATTAGGTCAGGGTCCAACTTGAAGAGTTTTGCAAGAAAGAACCCCAGCAGTGCACGTTCTGTATCCATCTTCTCTAACTTTGTTGACGAGTAATGTGCTGATACAGCACTGAAGTCAAACGGCCAGGCCATGTCTGATGGTCGAGTGAAAGCTGCAAGAACCAACACATCTGACATTTACTTACTTACTTACTCATGGAGCTTAGCCCTCCTTGAGAAGCCGCCAATCCTGCAGCCACTCAACAATTTCCCAGCATTTTATGGAACCCAAAGGTTCATTACTGTGTTCACAAGAACCCTCCACTGGTCCCTATCCTGAGCCAGATCAATCCAATCCATACCATCCCATACTATCTCTCTAAGATCCATTTTAATATTGTCCACCCACCTACACCTTGTCTTCCCAGTGGTCTCTTTCCTTCTGGCTTTCCCACCAATATCCTAAATGCATTCCTCATCTCCCCCATTCGTGCTACATGCCCTGCCCACCTCACCCTCCTTGACTTGATCATTCTAATTATACTTGGAGAAGACTACAAGTTATGAAGCTCCTCATTATGCAGTTTTCCCCAATCTCCTGTCACTTCATCTCTCTTCGGTCCAAATATTTTCCTCAAACACCTTCAGTCCATGTTCCTCCCTTAATGTCAGAGACCAAGTTTCACAACCATACAGAACCACAGGCAAAATTATCTGACATATGAACACAAATGTATCAATTTTCCGAAAACATTCCTACCTTCAAGTAAAAATTGCTTCAGCAGTTATTGTCTCATACATACAGACAGATCTAGTTGATTTAACATATGATCAGCAGGACTGTAAATGTACATAACAGATGTGCTGAAAATCAACTTCTTTTACACTTTTTTGCATTTCTGTTAATATATTTCAAATCTGACTTTTCAATTCCCTAACTAAATTTATGAACAAAGGATCATACAAACTATTAACGTATATGAGACACAAATTTTACACAAAAGTGATTAGGAAAAATACTGTAACTGTGATGTGATACCATGTTGTCTGGTAGAAGTTCACTAATTTTTTGGAGCAATGCACTATCTACATTTCTGTGTGCAGTACACTCTGTGGAAACATCTACACATTTTAACAGACTAGATGGCACCACATCCCAGACAGTATTCTCAACAGGACTTATCTCAAGCCATAAATGGTGAAAGAGGGCATGCCATCTTTTTTCCAGCACCTCACAAGTGAGCATAATCTTATTTGCATGTAGGCCATACCACTATTTTCAGACTTATACTTTGGAAATGAAAGTATCACTTATAAACATATAACTATGGTAAAAAATGTAAAATCATAGTTTCACATATTTCCATTTATTTTTATTTGTTTTTAGAGAAGTCCTGAAGATAAAACACTACGAACTGTATGATACCAATCATCTCCCAAATTCAATTCCCTCTTAATTTCATCGTGTAGTACTTCAACTTTGCACCAATAATACTAAATAAATAATTCAAATTGTAAATCAAAAGTGTTAAGGTAAAGCTATCTCCATAACAGGCTGTGGAGGCTGATAAGTTTGTGAGATATCTAGACTCCCACATTTTCTAGGTAATCGGATCACAGATGGCAGTGAGGTTGTCACCTTATGCACCAGTTGCCCTTTAGCCCCAGGAAGATCCTAGTACTCATTTCTGTTACAGGCTGAGTCGACCCCAGGGCCATAGTGCAGTTGGAAGGATTAGGTCAACTGAAAAATCAAATGACCTCACTGGGAAATTATGTCATTCATTTTAATACATTCAATACAATTATATGAAAATTATGGTCACTATAATAAAGAAATTGGGAGACAAAGTTGCTCGCATCCATGACATTCTTTAAGTTATACGTGTCCCCTGAGTAGTGCAAAATGAGCGACAAACCTGGCAAAGCTCCCCAAAAGAAAAGCGAAAACTTCTTCTAGATGCAACAAAGCAAGAACTTGAGTGCTCTCTATTGGGAAGCAAGAAGCAAAATGGGTTAAGTGATCCCAAATGCCGCCATTGGTTACCAATCAACCAACCAATAATAAAGAAACTGGAACACTGATGACACTCACCACAGAAGTGCTGCTGGAACGGAGGCTGAGGAGGTGCCCTGTCCACATGGAAATCATTGTGAACCAGGCAACCAACCATGACTACCTCGTTCTGACCATTTGAAGGATGGAGCACTGTGCAGATGTTCAATGTTGCCACCACAAGTGGTGGAGGGGCAGGAGAAGGCATCACAGTACAGAGTGTCACATGTTCTGGTTTCACCACCATTGCCTGGAATATAGAAAAGATATAAGAACACTGTAAGACTTATTGAAAATTATGATAATCCATTACCAAAAGAAAAACTGATGGAGTGAATAATCTGGGGAGCAGAAAATACATGAGATAAAACTATCCCCTTGCAATTTGTACACAGGATTGATTGGGTCTTGAATCAAGGTACTTCAGTAAATAATCTGTACTCTAGAAGAGAAATTACAATAAAAAATTATATACATCAATGACTCCAGGTAATGAAGAACATCCAGAGATAAAATATATTTTTACAGATCATAACATTTATATTTCTGCTCAAGTTGCGCTAATCAGAAATACAATTTGTCTACGACAGTGCAAGAACATCTTTCCACTGTTAGTCTCATCATCCAAGTAAATCTGTGAGGTGTGAGAAACATCAGTATCCTAAAGCAGGTCTTGAAATATTACACTGTTACTGATGCTTGGAAACTAGACATGGTCTTCAAAGCAAGGAAGACAACATGACAACCATACAAAATATTCTGGTATAACGACAACTGACACATCTTCACAAATTTAATGAAATTTGTATAGTGACATAATACAAAAACACAATGAATATGTATGTGCATTAGTCTGTCCCTAACTAAGACACAAATATTATAAATGGTAATTAACCAGTCTTCATAAAATCCAGTGTAAACATCAATCCACTGTGGACCATCAATAATGCCAACATGTAATGTGAAGTAATACTGCAACCAGTCAATACAGAATCTGTAAGTTTAATATGGATGTATTTCTTGGAAGACTTAAATTTTGTAATGAATTACAAGAACATAAAAAGAGTGTGACAAAATATCTGATATAACAAGAGATGAATCCTGGTTACATGACATGTGAAATATATATGGTGACATGTTAAAAAAGAACTTCCATTAGTTTATGTGGTATTAAAATTGTACTGTGTGATACTCTGCAAGCATGAACTGCACCACACTAAGAGTAAATGCTTTCTATAATTCTTATACATCAATTAAACATGGAAACAATACTATCCTATTTTTTTTTTCTTGGCACTACAGACCCAGTGGGCCTAGGCCTACCTCCATGAACTTCTCCGTTCACTTCGGTTTTTCTAGATCTTACACATATGGTAGGACTCCTTGGGCAAGTGATCAGCTCGTCGCAAGGCCTCTACCTGTAGACAAACACAGAAAAACGCACACAAACATCCATGCCCTGAGTGGGATTCGAACCCACGATATCGGCTTCCGAGCGAGCGAAGACAGTGCATGCCTTAGACCGCTCGGCTACCATGACCGGCATACTATCCTATTTACTATAATTATATTACATTATAATGAACAGGTTTATAATTAGATTCTAAAGGGCTGGTCATGGAGCGAAACACTTTGAATTACTGGGTTTTGGGATTTAGCCCATTTCCAGCATTCTAAACAATTATAACATCTTGGAAACTTCGTCTGTTTCTGAAATGTTACATTTTCAGGATACTGGACAATGAACAAGTGCAAAAATCCAGTAATCTTGATGTTGACACTTGTTCTTTATTCCTTCCACCGCACCACTATGAATTGGAATCAGCTGATTCCCACCCAAAACATACCTCAACTTTGCACCAGCTAACAGGATTGCTGACAGGCTGAACACATTTCAGGTCAAGCCAACAAGGACCTTTCATCCTGCGGTCCAACAGCAGCTGCTCCAGAGCACTTCTGTTTGTACCAAACACATGGCTAAATGTCTCACCTTGCAGGTCAGATGGCACTGCTGGCTGGCTGGCCTATGGTAAGACATACTACTTTGATAAACTGCACAATTGGTTAATAGTTTAATTCAATAACAATCAAATACAAAATGAAAACCATACTGTGACATGTTTACTGACTAGACATCATTTTGAAAATCTAACATGTTTCAAATACCAAGCCTTGTCATCAAGGATTACTACCAGAACTACAACGCTCTAAGTATCAATGTGAAAATATGTATGAGAGCATTTTTAATGCATACACAACTTGTAACAGAACCAAAGCATTATGTCACAATTTTGAGTGATTATAGATAGGGTTTGAATTTGTGACTTGATTTATTGACTGCTTATACACTCATGACTTGTGACTACACTTTACAAATCACTGACACATATAGACTAGTGTCCTCAGTCTGCTACAGCCTCCACTAGCCATTTCTGGGCAATGGATTTTAACAAAGGAACTGAACTATAAAGTAACTTTGTCCCTTGCTTATAACATTTCAGCACAGATCACACAGAAAACACAGCTCTTCTACTGCTGCATTATTAAGAATCTGCTGCCTAGCAATGGGAATGTTTACCGAGCCATTGTCCAGAAATGGTCTCTGTTTAGAGTCACTGCTTAGCAACAGGTCTCTATGCCACAATAACATCACTAAATCAATCTGTTACACACAATCCTGGGCTAGATGAAACCAATCCACATACAACCTACCTCTTTAAGATCCATTTTAATATTACGCTTCACATCCTTCCCAGCCTTTACAGCAATGGCTCTCCAAGACATTTCTACAGTAAAATTCTGTACATATTTATTGTCTGCCATATTGTAAACTACATGAGCTCTGTGAAACTGTGTAAACACAGCTCTGAGTAAGAACAATAATGTCTCCTGGGATGTGATGCTGTGTAGCCTGCTAGTCTACATGACTTTACATCCCAGGAGACCAGTAATCTACAGGAGCTGCATCTGAAAAAATATTTCAAATGCAGACTGGGAAGACTTTCTCGATAAACAGTGTGACAATAACACACAGTAACAGTGTAATTTCTGAGGTTCAGTGGAAAAATACAAGTAAAATAGTCAAGTTTGGTTTCAGTTCGAGTCCAGAGATGTGTTCACATATCACTAATTAAATCTTTGCCCACTGAACTGTAGCTCTTGACTTGTAATGTTTCAGCATACTCACTGGGTACATAACCTCCAAATACTCAGATTTCATTGGGACATCAGGGATGCTGAAAGCATAATGTCGCTCAACTTTGCGTGATTTATATTGCAAAATCTTGTAGCGTTCTGCTATTCTCTCATTGAATTCTTTGTACACATCCAACATGGTCACATCCTCATCCAATGACGTCTTGGTATGCATGTTGTAATGCTAAATGTAAAATTAACATAAAATCACTGTGGAGCAAACTTTTATTACCATATGTTACAGGAAAATAAACTGTCATCAACATGATAAATATATTCTTAAGTAAGTGACTCACTCACTCACTCTGTGGTGCAGGGTACTTCCCTGAGCAGTTGATAATTATTCAACTGGTTTATTTACCATCATAATCATAAGTGCCCAGCACTGGGCCATATACTGTATCAGCAAACCCTGGTTCACATTTTCCTATCTGCACCTCATTTTTCCGAAACTCTATTCCCTTGAAATCTATCTATCAGCATTTTGCATTAGGCAGGTGAGAGAGCAGCCTTTTCGGTTCAAGGTTACAATTCCCCCCCAATTGAGAACTGAGGCAAGAATGAGAATTTTCTTTATCAGAACAACCTTTTTCATTGGAGTCACAATCTATATAACACTACGCACGTTGACAACGAACCAAAGTGTACTATTTATCCCTTTTTATATCAGAAACACTTTCACAAATCATTTGTAATTAAATATTTAATCCTAGGACAATGTTCTTTTTCACCATAGGCTGAAAGCTGGGGAAGAGAGTGAGACAGATTCTGCTAAAAAGCTGATTTGTACTAGAATTGCCAACTACCACAGTTCTGAGCAATCAGGTTCTGGACAAAACAAGCAGCCTTAAAATTCTCAGAGTTTGAGACTGAAAAACTGGGTTAAAATCAAGATTTTTTGTAGGATTTCAGGTTCTCACAGTAGTGGTTATGAAGACTTCTATCTTCTGGGACATAATACTATGTAGTCTGTTGAAAGTCAACCAATGTGTTGGAAGAACATAACAGAAGAAACCAGAGTGAAAGCAGGTGGCAAGCAGGGGAAGATATTCTTTATTCAATCTAAAATTTCAAGACTTGTACATCTCCATTTTATATGCATTTCTTGATTCTTCTGTGCATTGCATGTCCCATCCATTGCATCCTTCACAGTGTATTCACTGCAACATTATACAAAGAGTGCAAATTGTGGAACTTCCTCACTGTGTAGAACATGAGGTTTTATCATGGGGAATGTCAAGAATCCAATCTTCTGAGATGCACCATTGTGTATTTTTGTAGATGGATATGAATGTTTAAGAGGAACCACCTGCTTCCATCTCCTAACTTGAAGTTGGAGGCAGTAGGTTCCTCAAAGCCATTGGTATCCACCTATCAAACTTGATGGTATCTTATATTAGAGGCTGTAATCCTGTCCCTCACTGTCAGATACTGTTTTTAAAACGTCATCACTTCAGTTCCATTTTCAATTTGAGAAACAAAGCAAAATCACAGGGGGTCTAAGTCTGTGAGCAGGGAGAATGGGAAATAATAACCATGTTGTTGCTAGTCACTAACTCTGTGGTTTTCAGGGTTGTGTGGGCAGGCCCATTGTTGTGATGAAGGAGAAATGTGGTGCATGTTCAAATTTTCTGTTAAGACCTCTGATAAACTCCATAACTGATGCTAATGGTGTCTGCAAGCTCATGCATTGTTCAGCGACGGTCTTCGTTGATGAGTTCTCTAATTCTTTCAACATTTTCCATCATTTTCCTGGTGTTTGGTCACCCTGAACGTTCACCACCTTCAACTGACACTCAACCATCCTTGGAACATGAATGCCATTCAAAAACCATTGTCTGATTTAAAGAATGTTCTCCAAAAGCTTCACAAAGCATTTCAACGGGTTTGGTAGCCAATTTACTGAGCTTCATCCAAAATCTGATGCAGACACATTGCTCGATATTGCCATCCCTCACAGACAAAATGAAACACAAAGTGGAAAAAGCACTCGTGTAAAAACAATGCATGTGCACAGTGCAGTGTCACATGGCAGACTGATGCAATAGGTTTCGGAAGTGTAACCTTGGCCTCCCTTCTCATCTTCTTTCCCCAAGGCAGTTAAAACAATAACACTCCAGAAATTTTCTGATAGCACTGAACAGTAGCATGAAACACGAATCCTGAATTTAGAAGGATTTAGAAGTTGACGGGGCCTATCAACAGCATTAGCTTGAAGGGACTGAGTAAAACCATAAAGAACCTTACTGAAAATAGCCAGAGCCTCAGACAATATTTGAGCCAAACACTTCTGATTTAAAAGTCAAGAACTCTCTGTTACAGCAACCCACTTGGTCACACCTCTTGAGAGATTCCTTAAGATATCAAATTCAGCTGAGTGTGTGTGTGTTTGTAAATGCCAACATCATCTGCATGTGTTAAGAGCAAACAACAGAAGAATAATATTGTAGCTGAATTCTACTTTGAGGCTCAGGCACCAAGAAACCCGAAAGTCTTTTAAATGTTAAATTTTCTTGGCAATAACTAAGAATTTTGTACACATCTGAGCTGTGAGAGACCACTGGACCAAAGGTGCTTTCATCAGGCTTCTTCTACAGTTACTATGTAAGGACCCACGGCAAATAGCAAATTAAGACACCACAGGTGGTTAAGATGGCATGACAAAAGCTTCTGATGATTTTCTGATATGGCTGTGAATATCTTGGCTGAAGAGAGAGAGGAAATCTGGTTCAGTGATCCAGCTTCAGTCTCATCAAGTAGTCGACAAATTAGAAAATAAATTGAAATCATTTAAAGGGAAGTACTGCCATACACCAACATTGGGTGGATGTTTTGTGATGGCTGAATTCAACCAGGGATGATATTGTGACATGACTGAAAAGCCAGAATAGTGGAAAATGAAGATCAAGTCTTTGCTAAGCAACAGCACAATAAACACATGTCCACAGAAATGAATACACACACACCAATACCAGAATTGTTGGAAACAATGTTTTCTGTGCTGTCCATGATAAGGCTATATAGAGAGGATGAATGAGGCAAGTAAGTTGCAGCCATGATTTAGTTGTGAGATGGTAGCCAGCTGGCAACAGCAAAGAAGCTGAAGAAACTATTGTCAGAAGTTGCTACAAAGCAAAAAGTAATCAGATGGGAGGACAATACTGAAATATCTCATGAAATCAGTTATCAGGATAGAACTCACAAAAGTATCCAAGGGCAGGTTTTGATATTAGCTGTATTCAAACTCTGAGTTCTACTACCACATTTAAGAGCCCAACTCTCACCTTTTCACGTGGCAAAATGTAAATTCTTCTCTCAATATTCTTCACGGTAACACAACAGCTGATATGAGTCTTTGCTGACTCAATCCATACTTTTCCAAACAGATATACAACACCCGGCTGCTTGACCCAGTCTTCATATGCATCCCACCAAAAGATTCTTAGCACCTGTAAACCACAATCACAAGATTAGTATCAATATTTAAGTGATAATTACTGAAACTAAACATGTTCACAAAATAATGTGTTAAAGTGGCATTATTTACCTTCTCACCAGACTCTGTAGTAACAAGCGGCAACTGTGTTAGATCAACTTTAATGTCTGTTGTACTGTTAGTACTGCTGCTGCTGTTGCCAAAGACAGCTGCAGTTACCATAGTGTCCCACACAGCTGGCAACCTCTCTTCTGCTACTGGTGTTTGTTTCATGCAGCTAAACAAAAATGGATATTCCTATATTAAGAATCTGACTGCTGGATATTTCTGCAGAAAACACATTCCTCTATACAGAATTCCACTTAGATTCTAAGTGGGAATCTGCCTATTTTTAATAAAGGAAAACTATTATTATTATGTAGGTATCAGGAGACAGAATGAAGACCAGCTTTATCAGCAATCTGTAATATTTCAGGAAATTTAGCAAGAAATCGTTTTTTACACGAAAGTTTTTGCTTATAACAAATTTAATATCAAAGTACAATAATAAATAATATATTTAGGTTTAAATGCATGCCTTATGTAATCAGTGTTTTTAAAATAGCCCCATATTTTCTTTTGGTATAACAGCTGATACCAACACTGGAGGACTTTTCCATAGCTCATGTAGAGAAGCATTGGCAATTCACCCATCATGTTCAAGGTCATATAACCCACTCAGAGCGACCAACTAGATGCAGTCATTTGAACAAAGTTGCTTATATAAAAATCACAATAAAATTTGAAATAATATTGTTTACAAAGAAAATAAATGTCATCATTTTGGGAGACATGATGAGACCTGCAGGATATCTGAATTCGCGGTACAGTGAGGTGCATCATATCTGAGTTCTGCTGTATTTTCTAAACTTTAAAAATGCTTCTAACTTGTATTCGGGAGGTCCCTGGATTGAATTTTACTGAGGACACTATCATGAATAGTCTTTTGTGTGATCTTTTCCAGTATCTCCAGGCAAACACCTAAATACTGTCTCTGATTAGGCCATGGTCACTCCCACATATTTTCCAAGTCATTATTCACTTATCAACCTATCATTTGACACTGTCAGCATCATTAACCCTTTCACTGCTAGTATGTTAAGTACCTCTCAGTACCTTCTGTGCTGAATTATTTTTGAATAAATCTTTTATAAATAATTTAAGTGCAAAGTATGAAAATCTGTGATAAAATGTAACTAATCCTACCTCAGACATGGAACAGGCATCAGAAGTTGCAAAAATGATGAATTATTCAATATTTTTCCCAGGAGAAAAGTCCATTTAAATCAGGGTTGCCCAAGATGGCCAAAAAAGTACATAATTCACTATCCTAGTCTTATCATTATGTCACATGTTGACCAAAGTCCACAACTTTATTTAAAACTATTATAGACAGCACCGCGCACTGTACAAAGCCATTTTTACTAGCCCTGTGAAATACCCGCATCACATGACCACAGAGCAAGTGCCTCGCTGTGCAGATGCAACATTTTACATTTCTTAAGCTAGAGGCCAGAAGAATGCAGCCATTGAAATGAATGCTTCATTACGTTCCCAATGACTCTATACACCCGCCAAGTTCCCTTCAGATTGGTGCAAAGAAACCTGGCTCTTGAAACTCTAAAGTCACAAAACGGGTTTTGACGATCACAGCAAGGATGCCATGTTTTTCAGAGATCGACATATGTCGATCGGAGCAGTGTAAGGGTTAAATAAATAAAAAATTATAATCCCTCCCCCCACAGGTGTCTCCATCTTGTCATGGTGGTGGGGTTTTGTGACTCTCACCTGGAGAGCTATTCTGGTGGTAGTTTAACCACCAGTAGGATCGCCCATGCTGGAAAAGTCAAAGGGTCAAAGGGTAGAGTCCAGACTAAGAGAGATACACTGGTACTCTATGTTGGGGGCTGGGCATAAGGCTAACAACCTCATCCTGTAAAAAGAATTTTGTTCAGAAACCTAACAACCAGCCTCGGGTCATCATGCGTGGGTCCATTCCTGTGGCAGCACGCATTGGTTGTGGAGATTGGTTGTAGAGGAGACCAAGGTTCGCCCAGGACTGTAGCGCCAAGTGGTAGGTAGGTAAATAACTTCCCATGTGACAGGAATATCCTGTCAGATATGCCTAGAAAACCGAGAATAACGGCCGTGGGGATCCGTTGTGCTAATCACGTGACAGCCTCTATTCGCAAAAGTTGGCACTCATTTTGTTGACATGAGGTGGTCACTCGGTTGATATACATTGCTTGTGGACTACAGGACATGGAGTTTGTTTTTTGTTAAGTTCAACACCTTGACAGCACACTTTGCTACTACAGCACTGACAATTATCTACAAGTGGATGCACTGTCAAACAAACACCCTGTTATTTACACCTTTTCAACACACAACAGAGTATGCACAATGTCACTAGCCATAAAATGTAAAAAAAATTGTTTTAAAAGTGTAACTGAGGGACCACATACTGCAGATGAAATGACTGTCTCAGCCTGTACTCACCAGGGATATCCATAACACATTGACTAATGGCCAATTATATATTTGCAATTTGTTTCAGAAAATAGCTCACAAATTTATTACATTATGACTGTAGTCTTTTGAGATGTGACACCACAGTCTGGCACATAGTTCCGACATTTTGGATGAACATTCTAGCTCCATCTTTTACCCTGAAGATGGAGTCAGCAATACAATTATCTGAAATGTTGATAACCATCTACTACACTATAGAGAGTCACATCCAAGAAGACTACAATCTTAGCGTTCAGCTATATGAGAACCTAAATTCTCATACTCCACAAATTAAGTGAGCCAAGTTGCTCTGCACCTTGTCCTTTATTAAACAAAAGATTTCACTTCTTATACGTAGCAAGTAAAGGCAGCAGGCCCCTACAGAACAGTGGCAACCACCTACCACACTACACAGTGTCATATTTCAGAGGACTACAGACTGCCATGAGAACCTTAAATCGCATTTATGTTAATTCATTGCTTCACCTTTTGCTTCAACAGACAGGTGACCTAGGGTACTGACACAGAATTAACTCTGATTAATGAAGATCTCTTACTTACTTACTTAATTACTCATGGAGCTGAGCCCTTCTTGAGGAGCCACCAATTATGCAGCTACTCAAGAATTAGTTCTAAACTAAGTGCAGTCTGCTACATAATAAGACCACTTAAGCCATACACGTCCATAAATATCTTAAAAATGGTTTCACTCTTATTTTAATTCTATTATAAATTATGGTTTACCCTTTTGGGGTAACTCACCCCAAAGTATAAAAACTTTTTGAATGCAAAAGAATATAATTAGAATTATGTTGGGACACAGAAGGAGGGATTCGTGCAGGAACTTATTTAGAGAATTAGAAATCTTACCTCTGGCATCTCAGTACATACTATCTCTTATGCTCTTTGTGATAAAAAACAGAAACAAATTCATAGTAAATTCAGAGATTCACAGAATAAATACCAGACAGCAAAATAATCTCCATCAGCCTCTTGTAAATTTGAGTAAATACCAAAAGGGAGTTTACGGTTTAGGAACAAAGGTCTATAATAATCTACCACAACATATTAAGGATACATCGAGTGACACTAAGAGTTTTGAGGTAAAATTGAAACAATTTTTACAATTACATTCTTTTTATTCTTTACAGGAATACTTTGGTTATAAATCTTTTTAAGATGAGAGTAATTGTCTTGCTTTATAATTGAAAGAAGACAAGATTGTCAGTCTGTGTTCTGGTTTTTAGTTGCTTATTTTAGACATACACAATCTTTATATCACTGTATACCAGTCTTTATTTCAATTTATTATACTATTAATGTATGTTATACAAAACTCATTAATGACATTGTGTTTTAACTATTGAATTTTTAATTAATAGACTTGTATAAAACTGTACAAATTGTATAAGGTTTGCCATTACTTTTACTACTAAAATTAACTTATTTATTATATTGTATATGTTTATCAGTATTTTATACAAATGTGTAGGCTACTGGATGACAACTGTAATCCTTAGTTGTGACGGTAACTAGGACGATCTCCGCATCCACATGAGAATGTACTCTCGACAGGATTTATGGAAGGTGAATAAATGAAATTAAATGAAACGAAATGAGAATTTCCCAGCATTTTATGAAACCTGAAGGTTCATTACCATGTTCACAAGAGCCCTCTACTGGTCCATATCCTGGGCCAGATCAATCTAATCCATACCATCCCATCCTATCTCTCTAAGATCCATTTTGATATTGTCCAGTCACCTACGCCTTGGTCTTCCCAGTGGTCTCTTTCCTTCTGATCTATGACTGTGGGGGCGAGTACTGACCCACATTCCCAATGCATGGTGCATGACAACAGTCACTTCAAGCTGGATGATAATCAGGACTTTCATTACATCCAAAGAATATAATGTAAAATTGGATGCACCCTGAAAAGTCCATTTTCTAAATTGCTATCCCTATTTATCAAAGAAAACCTTACATTTCTCTATAATAATGATGGGTATATATAAAAATGAAAATAAAACTACAAAATGGTAGTTACCCATTAATGGAAAGGGTGTCCAATGATGGCTCCTGTACCTTTCCACTGTGTAAATTCTCCTTCAGACCATCAGCTTGCTTATACTCCAATTCCATCTGTAATATTATCAAGGATGAGAAGGATATGATACACAACACTTGTTTGAAACAAGATATGTATAAAATCATTGATTCAACAATCCAACGAAAAGGAGCATGAAGAAACACACTGTGATATGAATAAGACCAAGCTGCCCTTGGATTAGACCCATCATTGGTTCGAGTTTTAGGATCCATAATAGAAAAGAATTTCATGACCCAATGAGCAACTACAAATTTCACAAGCAAACCCCAGTATTCCATTTTTCAGAGGGTCTCTTGTCACCATGACACAGTGTGTCCTCAGGTTGCGGGTGGAGGAGACGCGCTCCAGATATGGGGGGAAGCTGTAAATATACTGAATAAGCAGTCATGGACAACCAACAAGGGGTAGTCCTCCAGCTTGGGGGTTGGGGCATGAGGCTAACAACTCCTCACCTTAAAAAATAAGCTTGTTACAAAATGTTCAAGAACCCTCAGACCTGGACGGATTCTGTGGATAAACGACCTAGGCAAAAGAAAATGGATATGAGTTTGTTTTGAAAATGTGGCACAATTCAAATATTTGGAAATGATGATAACAAATCAAAACCTGATTCAGAAGGAAATTAAGAGGATTTTGAACGTGGGCAATGCTTGCTACCATTCAGTCCAGAACCTTTTGTCTTCTTGTCTGCTGTCCAAAAACATAAAAAAAAATATACAAAACTACAAGGTGATTCACGAAGTTTTACCCCGGCTTATGGTACATATTCCTGCAAACTTTTCGTCGATTTTCAATAGTTACGGAGTAACAATAGATTCTCGAAACGCATCAATGTGAATGCAGCGCTATGCTTCCCCCCTGGGCGACCTTGCGTTCTGGTCAGCTGTGTCAGCAGATAAGCTGACCGGCTGGAATGTTGCGCAATCCTAGGCAAAGTGATCCAGTAGCGAAGAGGATGTTGGGTTGGTGACTTTGTGAAGTTAAGAGACCGTACACATTTTCCACTGAGGAATACACTGATATGGTGTTTGTTTTGGGTGTATGTGATGGAAATGCGAGAGCCGCTGCTGCCGAATATCACCGGCGTTATCCTATTCACAGGATTCCGAATCCTAAATCCATTAGCAGTACATTCAGCACATTAAGACAAACTGGTTCTCTCTCCAGCGTTCGTATACAATACGAACGAAATCCTTAACATGAATTGTGCGAAGAATAAACCATTCTCGATGCTGTAGAGCGCATTCCTCATGCCAGTATAAGATGTCTAGCTCAGCAGTTTGGTGTTTCTCAGTCCATGGCGTGGAGGACTCTTCATGATAATGGGTTCATCCTTATCATTTACAGCAAGTACAACACCTACAACCAGGAGACCGTGCTCTTCATCTGCAGTTCTGTAACTGGATAAATGGAAATCGGCAGTTGTGCCGCTTGATAATGTTGCGTGATGAGGGACAATTTACACGTGACGGGGTCAACAACAGTCACAACTTAAATGTTTGGGCAGACAATAAGCCCCATGCCACGACAGAATCGAATTTTCAACACCGATTCAGTATCAATGTGTGTTGTGGTGTTCTGTATGATCAGCTAATCGGGCTGTTCATTTCATTGCATTTGGGGCTGGATGAAGGACATTGTGTACCAGGTAAACGCACAAACACAGAAAGCGTTGCTTGAACGTATACTGGATGTGGCGATGACAATAAGGAAAAAACAAGTGGAACTGCGAAATGCTATGAGCGTGGTTCATACGCTTGCGACGCGTTGTGTTGACGTTCAGGGAGAAATTTTTGAAAATCTTATGTAAATCCAGTCATCGTTTAAAGCTTTACAGTTTAAAGGAAACAGATTGATAGAAGGGTGTGATATGCAACCATTGGTATGTTTACAGAATGGGATGCTGAAAATGATGTAATTTTGTAACATAATATCGATGAAAAATGTTGCAGAAAGCAAAATTAAGAAATTGAAAGAAAAAAAATTGGTTTTAGAATGCTTCTTTCCTAAAACATTAACGATTAAAAAGTGTTTGTATTGTATTTCTAATTTGTTTTGACTGAAATTCGAAGAAAACAAGATTTTTGGCCAGTTTTCAAATTACTGTATCTCTTTAATTATGAGTTGGATACCGTTAGTATACTAACATTTTTTGTTCCAAATTACCTCAGGAATGCCCTCCTTAAGTGGGGGTAGAACTTTGTGAATCACCCTGTATAATTTTGCCTGTGGTTATGTATGGGTGAGAAACTTGGTCTCTGACATTAAGTGAGGAAGATAGTCTGAGGGTGTTTCAGAACTGGGTGCTGAGGAGAATATTTGGACCACAGAGATATGGAGTGACAGGCGGTTGGTGAAAATTGCACAGTAGGGAGCTTCATAACTTGTACTCTTCTCCAAGTACGTGGGACAATCCAAAAGTTTCTGAAATTTGAATTTTGCGCGTGAATGGTTATGAGTACATCGAAATACCGCTAGGTGTCTCCTCACACATCCTTCTTGAATCAGTGTGGCAAGCGGCGTCGAGGTGAGTGGCTGGGTTTATTTTTGGTGAACGTATTTCCATTATTGTGTTTCCGTGAGTTTGCAGTTTTGCGATGGCTGACCTGAGAGAGCAGCGTGTCTGTATAAAGTTTTCTTTCAAACTTGGGAAAACCGCTGCAGAAACGAACCAAATGTTAAAGCAACCTTTTGGTGAAAACAATTTAGGCCAGACACAAACTTACAACTGGTATAAGCGTTTTAAAAATGGCTGAACATTGACTGATGATGACGATCGTTCGGGATGGCCGTCAACGGGCAAAACGCCAGAAAATGTTGCAAAAGTTAGGGATCTGATTCTGCAAGATCGTAGACTGACCATCCAAGACCTCTATAACACCTTGGGACTAAGTTATGGTACATGTCAACGAATTTTGTCAGAGGAACTGAACATGAGGAGGATTGCGGCAAAGTTTGTGCCACAACTGCTGCAAAATGAACAGAAGCAGCATCTCTTGGAAATCTGCAGGGAACTTCAGCAACAGCTTCAAGAGGATCCAAACTTTCTTTCGAAGGTTGTCACTGGTGACGAAAGTTGGGTTTATGGCTACGATCCTGAAAGCAAGCAGCAATCGTCGCAATGGAAGAGCCCTTCTTCACCTTGGCCAAAAAAAGCTCGACAAGTCAAGAGCAACATTAAGTCCATGTTGATCTGTTTTTTTTTATATTGACGGGATTGTTCATAAGGAGTTCATCCCTCCTGGTCAGACTGTCAATAAAGAGTTCTATCACGATGTTCTAAGGCATTTGAGGGAGAACATGAGGAGAAAATGTCCAGGGAAGTGGCGCACGAACGACTGGGTACTCCACCATGACAACGCATGACCGCATACGGCTTATATTGTGCAGGAATATTTGGCTAAAAACAAGATGGCAGTTGTTCCCCACCCACCGTACTCGCCAGGCTTAGCTCCATGCAACTTCTTTCTCTTCCCCAAGATGAAAATCAAGTTGAAGGGGCGAAGATCTGATACAGTTGAGGAAATTCAAGCGGAAACGCAGACGGTACTAAACACCCTAACATAGAAAGACTTCCAGGATGCATTTGAAAAGTGGCAGAAACGCTGGGATTGGTGCATGTGCTCCCAACGGGACTACTTTGTAGGTGATGGTGCAGAATAAGATCTAGGTAAGATGTAATAGTTTTTATTAATATATTTCGGGAACTTTTGGATTGCACCACGTATAATTAGAATGATCAATCTTCATTTCATGCATCCTGTTGTGTTACAATATATAACTTTATTTTTACGTCACAACACAACAACTAAGGAGTATCAAGGTCAGTACCCAGCTATGCCTCACTAAATGTTTTGGTCATTAACAGCCATCATCAGGTTAATACAAATCAACAAACATATACTACTGAACTGTGGTAAAATTACTCCTCATACAGTATGGACATTTTCTTTCATATGATGAGGCACCTCTACTCTGTAAGTACATATATTTTATATAATACAGTTTCAATTTAAATATTCAAATAAATATTTAATAATAGTCCTTTTTTTATATATTTTCAGATTAATTAACTTGCAACGTCATGGGCCTCCAATACCATCTTATTTTTATTCTGTCCCCGGAAAGTATAAAGTAAACATATGACTGATCAGATGTTATAAAACATAAATTTTAATCTTGTTTTATATTATAACCTTCAGTTCTATATATAAATGACCGTTGTATTTTTACAGAAAAGAATTATTTATTTTTGTCATTGTATCTAATTTTACCACAGTTCAATAGTATATGTATGTTTTTGTATTCACCTGATGATGACCGTTAATGGCGAAAACATGTAGTGAGGCATAGCTGGGTATTGACCTTGATACTCCTTAGCTGTTGTGTCGTGATGGAAAAATAAATATATATAGAATGATCAAGTTAAGAAGGATGAGGTGGGCAGGGCATGAAGCATGAATGGGGGAGAAGAGAGAAGAGGAATGCATATAGGATATTGATGGGGCGCCAGATGGAAAGAGACTGCTGGGAAGACCAAGTCATAAGTGGATGGACAATTTTAAAATGGATCTCAAATAGGATGGATTGGTAGCGATTGGATTGATCTGGCTCAGAACAGGGATCAGGGAAGGGCTTTTGTGAACATGAAAATTAACCTTCAGGTTCCATAAGATGCTGGGAAGCTCTTGAGTAGCTGCACAATTGGCGGCTTCTCAAGAAGGCCCAGCTCCTTGAGTGAGTGAAACCCCCATATTATGGAGTCAAACATTTTTACATAGCTCAAACTGTAAGAACTTACATAGTACACACTAAATACGAGTCAACCTCAGCATATAAGAGAACTCAAAGTTATAAATACTACCACATATGCAAAATATTCACAGGCAGTCACTTAAAAGGGCACTTCTACAGGCTGGGACTAGACAATAGTCCCACTTGTGAATGATGCCATAAGAAAGACAAAACAGTCTCACATGTCCTATGTGACTGTGAGATTCTAGCTAAGTTTGTTACCTGGGACTCCATGACGTCAAGCAAAGTACTGTTTTTTCTGATGTCCAGGACTGCTAAAGGGCTGACTCAGAAATGGGACACATAATTCATCCACCATAGTCTTGCTGTAAGGACTGGTACAGTACACCCCCTAAATCCACCCATGAGTTCAGACTTCTTTCATATCTGATGCGTTAAAAAATGAAACCCAACACATTTGTCTAATACACTCAACTCTCGATTATGCAGGGGCGGATTAACCGGTTTGCGGCTTAGCCGGGGCTTTTTTGAGGCTTATATGTTGTTTAATATTCATTCACTTTTGTTTCACATGGTGAGTTGTAACACTATTTTCGCACTAGTGTGAACCGAGCTCAGCATTTTTTGGTCCCGTTATGCTAACACGATGTTCTAGGGTAGGGGTGAAAGAATGCAAGGATTTGTGGAAAGTTTCAAGGACAGATACACCGCCCCAATTAGTCTCTTTGTATCGATCTTCAAGTGTGTTAGCAAAATGTCAGGGTGTAAAAGGAAGCGTGTTGTGTTAAGTATTCAACAGTAACTCGTGTGAGCCGGGCTTCGAAATGTTAAGCAGTGATGAAATCGTAAGTTAAGTGGGGGTGCAGTCAGAAGAGCGGGAAGAAAGTGAGAATGAGGAAGAGGTGGACAGTGCTGCTAGTAAGAAAGTATCACAAGGTGATGCTCTTAATCATTTGGAATCCTTACTAGACTATCTTGAGAGTGAAGAGAAGAGTTTATTAAGTGACAAGCTAATATTACGTAGGTTTCGTGCAGATATCCGTAAAAAGGAAAATGCCGCGAAAAAACAAACGACAATATTAATTTTTTTAAGTGTTAAGTGTGAATATTCGTAAAAAGTGTTGGATGTTGTTGAACACTGTGATTGAAATAACTAATTCATACTTCAGTGTAATGTAAAAAAAGTATTAAATAGGCCAAGAGATGACATAAAAATGAGGTTGAATAAATTTAAATACAGGTAGGCCCATAGCATTATGAAGGTACAGTATTAGAGTACTACTTTTAATAAAATTTGTCTTAACCGGGTCTTCAATTAATCGTGATTTCCATCCCCACCATTATCCCGGATAATCGGGAGTTGAGTGTATACTATTATAACGTCTGTAAAAAATAAAACGTAAAGCTATCCCTATAAAAGACCATGGAGGCCCATAGGGTTGTGAGATGTTGAGGCTCACACATTTTCTAGAAGGTTGGTTCACAGATAGTGGTCAGTTTATAAATGGGTTATATCTAATGAAAACTCTGGGAGATAATTTCCACAGTACATTCATTCTGTGCATAAACATTTACATACAGAACCCTTAAATTTTAAGCTCCTATGTTCATGTTCTTAAAGCACCTGTACAAGATGCAAGCACTGTAAATCTCTATTATTAAAAAAAAAAATGCAATGAACTGTTCCTACTACATAATAATACACAAACAGATAGGTTGGATTGGTCCAAGAGTTGATATGGGTGTTGCGGGGAAGAAAAAATCTCTTGTCTCTGCAAAGAATCTATTCCAGATTCCTTGGACATAAAGCTCATGATCCAGCCAATTTAATGACTGACATTCGCTATAGTTACTAATTCTTCTAAAAAGATCCATTGTGATAAAACCGAACTTCTGAACATACTCTATACACACTATAACACACATGCATATATTACAGAGAAATAAAGCAATTATACCTCTTTAAAAGCTTCCTGATCAAGAATTATGTCACTGGTGTCAAAATCATCAATTATCTGTGATGATGTTGGCTGTGTATCACCATTTGAAGGAACATCACTTACAATTATGTCATCTGAATCACTCTGAAACAGACATAAAGTTAAATTTTACTTCCAGTACAGCAATAGCATTTACCGTGCTACAGACATAACATTCATCTACCTTTCCTTAGAGCAGGTAAATGGATTCCTTGTTACCACAGCATGGTGCATCCCCAGTTTACAGGTGGAGTAAATTGCCTCAAATTGTAGAGAATTGTTGTTAGAGTATTCTCTTTGAAAGCTCATTGGCCGTATTTTAGAATATGAAATTCTATAGATTATTTTTCAGACACTGTTCATTTCTGTCTTCAGGAAAAACACAAAAGGAGCAGAATGAAGAGAAGTCCATCAGATAAAGCTATTCTACAGAGTCAGCCCATCTTCCTCCCCTTCGAACAGGTTTCATTTGAAGACAAAAACAGAGAATGCCTCTGAAATGCAGTAATTTCTAGTATGTTATATTTTAACACTTTGTGGATGGCGCACGCATTAATACATTTTTCGCTTTTAAATGTGGCAGACTGGTCGCGTATTAATATGTTTTTAGAACACGATAAGTTGCAACACACTATACATAGCTCTGGCGCCACCTACATTGCACACAACCGCCTGCAGATGCGTGATAAGACTCTGGAATGTTTAGTTAGCAGTCAGTAAGTTGACCTCACTGTTTACTTAACTGACTATAAAGGAAAATGCTTTGCCTTCTTCAAGCCGTGTATCAGCCAGTAGCTAGTGGGGAGAATGGATCAAGGACAAATTCTCCTCCGATGACCTAGCTGACCTGCTTTGTGAGACATGTAGTAATGGATTGTCATTCAGACAGTGACAGTGATGGGGGGACAACAAAGAATTGTGGCCACAGACAGTAAAAGTGACAGTAGCTCCGACAATAATGCGGGTAATAACATTGCACATAGTAACATTGCAGGGACAGCAAAAAATCTAAACCCTGATTCAAAATTGAAATACAAAGCATTTCTGATGAATGTGGCAAAGGCCTGGGCTACAGTCCAGATGGTGGCGGCAGAATCAGGGTCACATAAAGACTTAGTACGACCGGGCCCATCAACTCCCACCCCACACAGGCCTCATGTGGACCCACCAGGGCGACTCTCGAGTGAAATGCGGAAAAATACCCTCATGAAAATTGTGAAGAGTGAACATTCCAAGGGGAAGAATCCTTCTAGGCAATGCCGTGTTTGCAGTTCACAAAAAAAAAAGGAGTATGTCTACATTTGCAAGTTCTGTGTAATGCCACTTCACAAAGGGGAATGCTTCTAGAAATATCACACCCTCAAGCACTTCTAGGAGCATTGGTAAGTGTTCTCCAAAAATTTTAGTTAAAAAAATTAATTATATTTTATATTAATTTTTGAAGTGAACAGTGCAAAAGTTAGGGTAGTATGTTTAAAAATGTCGGTCCCCAGGGTGATTTAAATATTTAAATCGCCGGTCCACGAAGTGTTAAAACAAAGACAATGGATGCCCTAAAAAAGTACTCAAACAATTACACTACACAACTCTCAACAAGTTTTAGAACCATGGAGAGTAAGTGTGAATACTATGAGTAAGCAGTAGTGGGCAGGTGACAAGGAGTTCTGTGGCATAAGGTTTATGTACAGGCCTAGAGTTCATATGCCATAGGAAAGCTAATATATTGTGAAGCATAACAAAGGGTCTTCTATGGCCTGATGCATTTTAAATTTAAAACAATGTATATCTCCACTGTGTCTGAAATTTGTTTTGGAATATTTCTAAAAAACTAAGAAAGACCATACAAAATATATTCAA